TTTTTTTTTTAATGAGTTGATGTAACTCGATCCATTTCTTATTTAATTGCCATCTAGGTTGAAAATCTAATTATATAGTAGGGACTTCTACTTTTCTACAGTATAAATACCTAGAACATAGTTCAATAATCATCAGTGTACTCGTTGTTTTTTTGGTGAAAACAAATTTATTTTCAAACATCACATTTTGTCAAAGTGTATACATATTTTTAGTCTAAAACATATTCAAAATGGCTACAAAGGTAAGAATACATTCAATACTTATTATTTACTAATTTTTAACAAGTGCAATTATCATTTTTATTTTTACATTGTTTTACACTACCTAGGTACCTTTAATGTATATAAAATATTTTTTTTTTATAATCATATATTATGGTATCCATAAAATAATATTTAATAAATACTATAATAAACTAGCCTAACCTAATAATAATATGCTAACATTTACAATTTTCAAACAATAGTAACTATAATTTAACGTATAATTATTATATCTTATACTTATCATTAAGTGTTTTAAATTGAATGATACCTTAAATAAAGTTATTTTTACCGCACTTAGAAAAATGCCATTGACTTAAATTACACGTTCTAATGTCGTTTAAATTACATAGGATATTCCGCTGATTATTTAGACAGACGATGTGTATAAGTAACAGAACGAATTAGTTTTACAAACATTATATTTTATTATCACACAATAATGCACAAGTATACATGTTATATTATCAACTCAATACAAACTTAACGTTGAACATTCCAGTTGATTATGTTTGCCACTTTGGTCGGGCACTTGGCCTTTGCTTATCCACCCATTGCGCACAAGAGTTACGTGGCCGACCATCATTACGATCACGCACCTGAACCATACCATTTCGAGTACGGTGTAAAAGATCTGCACACGCACGACATCAAGAGCCAGCACGAGGTGAGCGACGGTCACGGTAACGTCAAAGGATCGTACCGTCTCGTGGAGCCCGACGGTTCTACCCGAGTGGTCGAGTATACCGCTGACCACGAACACGGTTTCAACGCCGTTGTCAAGAAGATCGACGCACCCCATTACCATGGCGGGCACTCTGCAGACACCGAGAACTACCATCAACATCACGAGTTACTTCATCCGTACGAACATTCGTCGTACGACAAGTATTACTGAAATTAAAAAAAAAAAGATGAGGACGCCGATTACACAGGAAAATGTATTGCCAAACAGCTGGCCATATGGTACGAATTATTTGCTGTATTATGCATGTCGTGTATATTTTTTTTATTGAATAAAACATTCACCATTGTTATTATAAGACACGTTGCAGTATTTTTTTTGTCCACGCATGACAACCCTATCACACATTATGCCCAAAAATAGCCCCATTAAGATATTGAATTGATAGATGTGATTTGGCCATTGGCAGAATATATTTAACTCAAAAGAATCAACCTGCAAAACGTATTATAGAATTGTTTCATTAAATAGTTGCTAAGTGGTGTAGTTTATGTGTATATGCGCCTGCACATCCATGCACAACTGTACTTTATCGTAATTTATTAGGGTTCTAAAATTTCATAAATTTTTTTTTTTTTTGAAATATTTCATTATTTGCATGTTTGAAATATTTAATTTCAATGAAAAAATGAAACTTTAATTTAAACTATAGAAGGAAGTATAGTTAACACCTCTGCTTAGTTAAATATTAAGTGGACAATTCTATAGAAATGTTGTTTACATCTTACATTATATATTTATATAGTTAATAACATAATAATTATCTACCTTATATAATATATCTCCTTTATATATTGATAATCACTGATCGGGCATGAAATCAGCCTGACTATCTAGTGATGATTTTATAAAACATACCAAAAACACGAAATCAACAAAATATATTTCTCAATATTTCATTTAAACATTTCAAAGTGAAAATTGCTTGTGGAATATTAATTCATACTCATAACCTTAATCATTAATCGTAATAAAGAATACCATTAATTAATGTAAAAACTGTTATTGAAGTAAAGGTAGATGTGAGTGTAATTCAATTCAAATGTTTTGTCTAATATTATAAACATATCTTAAACTCCTTCATTTGTTATTTGTCTGTAACGTTTTAACATTTAGGCCGCCAATTATTGACTGATAAAAATGCCCTTTCGTTTAACACCAGGCACTGCAGGCGTGGTTTCGCAAAAATGAGCTCGGGGATAGCGGTGACGACTGTTCGCCGGCTGACCTATTATAGTCTACCGATAAGAAAAGTATCGAAGTAATAGACGTTACTCCTATCTTAATCCGAAATCGTACATTCCTAACCTAAAACTGCTGGGGACCTACTCAAAAACGACACTGATCAAGGCGAGAACTGTTCAGGCGCCTCTCGGTGGAAAGATCACAAAAATGAAAATACTGTGAATCAATTGCCAGCGAGATGTATTGTCAGAACAATGCTAATATGCATGCTACAAATACGACAGCCCCCCAAACAACTACCATTTATTATAAAAATATAAACTATAATTATCTTCAATGGAACCCACGTATTATTTTTACACACACATGCGAGATGAATAATAGTTAAAAGATGTATGTTGTTAAAAAAAATGTATTTGAAATTGTCAATAACTTTGGGATTCTGAGCAGAGCTATGAATATATTGATCTGACAATGATATGTGTTTGTTTTTCACTTAGTCAACTTCAGAAACTATTCTGGTTAGGAAATGAATATAATTGGAGCATCCAGAGGTCAAGATTGAAAATTCATAGTACCTAATTACTAGTTTTCAAAAAATTGGTGAAAATAAAATAAAGGAATAACTGTAATACAACTTTTGAGTTTTGACAAAACGTATTTTGGTTTTTTGATTTAACTGCTCTTAAAAAAATAATCATAGTCAACATGAAATTTACACTGAATGTTTGTATTATAATTTTCTATTTTTTATTTTCTATTTTTTTTTTTTTTGTATTATTTCTTTATAATATATTTATTTATATACCCTCTCATCTCGATGGTTTGAGTAGACTTCGTCAGCGGAGCAGCAGGGTGACAACATTACCACTAATTCGGATCGCATGCAGCGCGCCGAATTTAAAAACTGATTGTGTATCCAACAATGCGAGACATCCAAAATATTTTAACCGAGTAACTATAACGAAGCATATAAACGTTAAATTTTACTACCAATCCTCGGTCAACGGTGGGACAACTTATAGATTAAATTAAATTAGGATTATGTATTATAGTTTATGCAGCAACTAGCAAGGGTAATCATGAATCTAAATTACCATTGGTGTGCGATTAGTTCTTAAAACAAATTATAAATATTAATAAAATATGGAAATAGAGATGATTACACACTCAGGGGTACCAACTACTGGCATTCCATACGTAGATTTATTCATAAATACGAGTAAAAACTAAAAGCAAATAGAGATGTACAGGATATGTTGTCTAGATGTCAGAAAACAATAGTACGGATTGGCCCTCGGCAGGTTTGAAATTTATTCAGCTTCAGAAAAACCAAGCTCTTTATTCCGGTAAAAATAAGTATTTAGCATAGTTAAAATAATGTAATTTTTTATTCTTTAAAATAAAATGAATATATATTATGAAATAAGTTTATAATTTATATGTTTGTAAACAGTTGACATACTATAATAGTAATAAAAGAAATGACTACTTTTTTATTAAAAAAATCACTGTTTTTTTTTTTTGTCTTTTCGATTATTATTTAACGGAATCACGTCAATACCTAGCTATTATTAGGGTGCGGATTTGTATGATTTTTATGAGGATTTGTTTCGACATTTCACAATGTCTTATGTCGGACATTTTATCGAGTAAATAAAAAAATTATTTTAAACGTCTTAAACAGTTATGATATATCTAAACTGTAAAGAATATCAAGTTGGCAATGGTCTTTTCTGTTTTCACTATGGAAAAATAAGTCAAAAAAGAGTCACTAACCACAAAAAAATGTTTAATTTATTTTGGTTTTAACCATAAGTAACAACTGTCAATTACGCCGACTACAATCTACAAGTTACAGTTGTCAGCTGAGGGCTGTGTAATTTAACCATGTTTAATGTTCCAATATTAAAAAAACATTGCAGCCACGCAGAATATAGCAAATACAATTCCCAACAAAAATATTAGAAAATAAAAATAAAACTAGAATAAAATATGGAACTTATTTTTTATCGTCATAGCCATAAATAAAATATTTTAAAATACAAAAATAAACAATAAAAATGAAAATAATATATTGTTATTTACAAAAAAATTTCTTTATTTAATATTATTTTTAGCATAAAACTTAAATTTAAATGATGTATTATAATTATACATTTAAAAAAATACTACAGAGGAGGCGAAAATTTTGAAATATCTTTTAAGATAGTTTCGAATGCATCTTATTCTGCGAGACGTGTTCTCCACATAAATTCTGCCAAATACGATTCGAGATAATGTCAATTCTACATATAATAATTAAACCCATCACCGTACTACAATGATATACATATGATACTCAACCTACTTGTGATATAAAATTTAGTTATTTTCTAAAATATTTTTCAAAATAGACTATCGACTATCACGAGCTAAATACGATAATTGTAGGAATAATAACAGCACATTAATACAACTATATATACAAAATAATATACAAGTACCGTTTCCAAGTTATTATTGGTCAGTTTTAAGAGTAAGGATTAACTTAGGTGTCCGACGTTCACCATCTCTCCCCTATGAATATTTTTAGTTTTTACAATGGCATTACTTATTAAAAAAATAAATTTAAAAATGTAAAATAATTTTAAAAATGTCTATAATTTTTGTAGCAGAATTGAGATTGAAGTTCATTTTAATCCAACTAATGTTAAGTTGGTTGGATATTATGATTTTTCCGATTTTAATATAAACAGCAAAAATCTAGAAGGGAGAGGGGGTAAAATGGAAGATAAGAGATCTCCTAGAGTCCCTGAAATGTTACTGTCACGATTATAAAAAGTTGTGAACCACTGTGAGTGTAGCTCTTGCATTTCATAAAATATAATAATAATAATAATAATGTTAAATACACGTTGTCTATTTAATGAAAAGTTTAAAAAAAACCAAAATATTGTGTTTTCTGACAAATAGAGAATAATATGATTTTTGCTTTATTATATTAGTTGTTACTAAATAAACAATCTATTTTAAACATTATTTATTTTGTGCCGAAGGAGTTCTTATAAAAGAAATCGAGAAGTTATATTTTATTTCATTTATTGTTCAACGTTCACATTACATTTATCATTTTCTTACATTAAATCAAAATGATTTTTTTTAAGCAATTTATCATAACTCTTACATTTATAGTAATTTCAGTTTGGATTATACCCGTAGCTACGAATGTACCGAAACAATACCTAATTGCACGTAAGGATTAATTTATATTTATATAAGCAGTTTGATGCAAATCTAGCCAAGAATGTTTCATTTAATCCTGAAATCAATCAGTTGGAATCTAAAGTATCTTAAATTCTTAACTTAAAATTAGTTGAATCAATTCAATCGTATTAAGTCATGGACAATTACTTAAAATACAAACAGACATATTATAAAATACAATTTTATTTTTTTAATATACCAGAATATCTTAAGCGACTTAAGCAATCGAATGTAGACAATAATAATTATATTTCTAGTCATTTTCGGAAAATTGGTGTACTCGTTGATCGTATAAATGTTATGCGCTTTGGTAAATTGTCAAATAATTTTAGGCATATTTGAGCTACACTACCTAATCAACATGCATTGTATTCAGTGTTCTAAAAAAACAAGCAACAACTTAGGGAGTTGGCTAATCTTAAACACATTAGTATATCATCGGATAGAACTTTGTTACTACGAAAACATTTAAAAAAATTGATTGATGATACAAACTTTATACATATTTTTAACTTGTACGTTCTACTCTTGAATGGTGTGGTTGCCTTTTGCTAAAATTCATATACAATGCCCCTAAGCTGTCCGAAATTGTTTCTTTTATTTTATATTAGACAAATGTAGTATTCTACGTCAACCTCGTCCACTATATAAGCCGCTATTGGAAGGACTAAATATGAGCGCCTTGTTTTTTGGAGAAATATATTACATGATTTAAAATTCTTGTTTAGATTAGTCAATGTCAACAAAGACTGTTCAGAATTGTTGAATTTTAAAAATTGTGACCCTCAACGACAAACTAAATCTCCTATAAACTAATAAATATGTATTTTTTTTAGAGAGTTGTAGAGGTAATATTTTTAATTAGTTAT